TGAAGCTTTTTTTTTTTATCACTAGTTTCACATCTGTTTCCTGTGACAATCAGTTACCTTCTTTGCAGCCTTGCTCTTTATGGTGGGACTTCTGTCACTTTCATCATGCTTCTCTAATTTTCATTTTTTCTGTCTTTGAAATGGGAAGATCTACTTTGCATAGTCTGTAGTATGTAAGGGTGAATCTCTGATTTGAGTGATTTAGTCACTGGGCTACTGATAAGTCTCTCTAAAACATTAAATATTTCTTCATTCCACCCCAGAAAGCATTAAAGCATTAAGTGATGGCAGGTAGTTGCAGTGCTGTTAGTGGCCATCTGGCTAGTCAAACAACTAGTGTTCACTTTGGTGGACTTGGTACTCTGACACTGTAGTGCAGGGACTAGGAGCTGAAGAAGTTGTGCTTTTGTTCTTTCTGCATGACTTGTCAAAAAGTGCTTCATGGGGGTTTTTTGTCCTTGCTATTTGCATATGTAACAGTTTAAGAATAACAACAATACTTTGAATTTAATGAATGTGTCTGTACCTGTTCATGAGATCACTAAATGGACTGGTGCCTGATACTGTTTGTAGCATGAATCTGCTTTAAGTCTTTGTTCTACTGACACCATGCCATTCCTTGTTCCTTTTTTGTTTGTAGCCCTTAGGGTCATTAAACTGCACCAACTCAGCTGGGACTGACTTGCAGCGATGATAATCTTGTGTGCAATAGCATTGCTGTTTCCTGTTCAGTATTTCACAAGCACTTTGAGCTTGTTTTCTGACTGCAAGTGCAAAAGCCTTTTTACCATGTGACTTACCACTCTTCCTGTGAAAGGGACTAGCGTTCAGTAATTCTCAGAGCTATCGGATACTCACAGTTCAAACTCTGCTTAGTATACTACTGTGCCTGGTTTTTTTTCCTTATGCACACCATATGATCACCTTGTCAGATTTTATTATATTTTTAATAGTTTCTATTTTTATGTTTAAGCAGAGGGGAGCTTTGTGCCACTATTTTATTTTTCATTCTGTTAGCTTCCTGCCAAGTGATAAAGATTCTATCAAACAATTCAATTTCCTGTGTATTGTTTATAGACACAGTGCTGTTGTCTAATGTAAGTGTGCAAATCACAAAAATTTCTCCATTCTTAGAAAAATGAAGTTTTTTTATTATTCCCTCTAGTATTTTAACAAATCAAAATTTATGCAATCATGTAGAAGTCATATCCTGTTTATAATTACTTAGTTCATATTATGGGCCTTGAACGTCCTGGTCTAGTGGGAGGTGTCCCTGCCCATGGCTGGGAGTTTGGGACTAGATCTGTAAAGTCCATTCCAGCCCCTAAAATTCTATGATTCTATGATTCTATGACCTGAAAAGGCAGTTCCTGCTCCACCTGTCAGTGCATGACACTAAATAACATAGATGAGACTAGTTAACTCCCACCTGTCAGTGCATGACACTAAATAATATAGATGAGACTAATTAACTTGGGTAGGATTGTGCACCTTGAGGCTGAGTGCAAGGACTACTACTCCATTCTTATATCTGAACAAGGAATTTCTATGTGTTTTTCTTTGGTGCCCTTGAGTACCAGAACTTCCCCATGGAAAAACAATGTTGTTCACTGTCAGCAAAGTGTATTGCTCATTGCATGTGCAACAAGTTGGAGCAGGGAGTGTTTCCCATACTGTGGGTTAAGTTTCTTTCTGTGCATCTGCCAAATTTCTCTGGTGTTAGAAGTGAGAGAACTTAATTCCAACTTCCTAGTCCATAGCTCAAAAAACTGAGAAACTTACATCTCGATTTCAAAATAAACGTATATAGGGAGCAGATATTTAGGAGAGGGAAGATGTTTTGTAGGGAGTCAGCTGCCAGATTTGGAAATGCAGTGCACAGGAGTTGTGTATTGTCATCCAGGGCAGGAGGGCTGATTCTTGTGCAAAACAAATGGTTGGAGCACCCGAATGGATACAAGTAGGTCTTTGGAAATTGCAGCAAAGACAGAGAAAAGACAGACACTAACAGGTAAGGAGCAGTATGAGCAAATACACAGAAGGCATATTCTTTCATGGGCTAAGCTGAAATACAAAGATGCTGGAATTACAAAGAGTACAACAAAATACAAGAGTTCTCCTATTCATGTCTCTTCATTTAGGTTTAAATTCTTTCTGTCAGTAAGGAGACCACTAAATCTGAAATTGGGAGGGTGAAAAGATTAATAGATGTAGCAGGTCTGGAGGACTTGTTTAAGGAGAGACTGGTTGTCGCACTTAGTGCCATGTCTAGTTGACATGGTGGTATTAGGTCATAGGTTGGACTTGATGATCTCAGAGGTCTTTTTCAACCTAATTCATTCTGTGATTCTGTGAATTCTGGTAAATGGCGGGATGAATTGATGAGTCAAAATACAATAAGTCAATATTTATGTATTATATAAACTTGTGAGGGTTTAATGTACAGAAATTAAATAGTGAGACTTGGTGGTTAGAATAACAAGCTGAAGAAAAAATGTCTCAGCCTCTTAGATGTACAGATGAGAAAGGTTAGAGTATAAAATAAAATGAAATAAAACAAAATAAAATAAAATAAAATAAGGTTTTTATGAGAGCTCAGTGAAGATTTGTGAATATGAAATTCAGGGGAAATAAAAACCAAGGAATGCCTTTAACTGTATGCTTGGTGTTACTTCAAAAAGTAGTCTAGAAGACATCAGTTTGAAAATCAACCACTTTAAAAATAGGTTGAGGTTCACATATATGCCTTCCCACAAGGCCCTACTTGGCATGTTTGTTCTTGACAGCTGCAATTTCCTCATTTTATTTCAATTCTGATTTTTTTTCTCTGCTTAAAGTCTTATGCATAAATGTATTGTAAAAGAACCATTCTGGTTTTCTTCCTCTTCAGTTTATTGCAGTTGATAATGATTTTAAGAGTTCCTAGTATTAGTACTATATAGAGAAAAACCTGACAGAAAAGTTACTGTAGAGGAGGACTGAGTATGAAATTCATTATTCTTCTGTGCCCTTTGGTACATCTTTTTTTTGTTAGTAATAGCTCACACACCTGCACATTTCACTTTGAACTTCTGGTTTGAATAAGTTCAAGGCTATTTATAAAATTCAAAAGAATTTGCTGGTCCATAATGCAGCAACATCAAATAGGATAGTTTCCAAATCTGCAGATTGGTTTGTCTGTTTGCTCCTGTTGTGGCAATCAAATAAAAGAAATGGAAATGATTAAGGAGAGGAGTCAAAGAGGAGGAGAATGGATGGACACTCTTTTGCGGTTCCACGTTTTGGGGACTCATTTTACTATGTTTTGTTTCTCTAGCTCTTGACCAAATCTCTGTTGAATATGTAGAGTTCTCAGATCAGTTTAAGAGATCATTCACTGTGTTTTAACATAAAATATTTCCAGGGTATTTGTTGATTATGATACTAATTTTGTCTTCCCAACCCCTATTTTCAAGAGAAAATACCAGTAGAGGCGATGGCTTGGTGACAACATGACTTCATCAGTCTGGTGATGATGATGGATGTCTATTCATTGAAAATGACACTTGAAAGAGACACTGACATATTTTCTTCTCAAAATATATGTGCAGCCCTTCTCTGTTTCCCCATGGTCTTAAGGTCAAAAAAAACCCCTAATATTACATGTCATTTATTTGAATTAATAAGGAAGAGTCATCAGTGACTAACTCAGCTCCAGTTCACAGTGGAAATTCTTACAGAATTATTTGCTTTTTTCTTATGAATCAAGTGTGACTGAAGATTCAGAAAATAATGTAGTTGAAATAGTGAAAGAAGCTCTAAATTTACTGGAACCTGTACCAATCCTGTAATTTGATGAAAGTGTTGTATAATCCAATATTCAGTTCTCTTGCCTTTTTTTTTCCCTTTGTGACAGTTGTTATTTCTCCTCTTGATAAGAGGTTGCAACTGGTTGCAACTTGAGTAATTTTTTTGCCATTTTTATATTTCTATTCTGGAAAAATACAGCAAGGAGGATTTCAGTTTGTCAAAATCGTATGAAGACCTTTTCCTGCAAGTTGATCTAGCTAGTGCTTAAAAAAAACCCCACAAAAATGTAAAATAGCTAGAACTGATAAGGAGATATTTTGATCTCCTAAATCAGAAAACAGGAAAACATAAAATTATTCAGTATTATTTAAACACTGATGAGATACTTGTGACAGTATGAACTACAGCTCCATTTTTTGTCACATAACAAATGTATCTTCATTCTGCCTGATCAAGTAAGTGCCATTTTATCTAGCCTCTCTATGAAAATTGATTCTCCAAGTGCCAGGTGTGTAGGAAGCTACACAGCTGTTGATTCAAATAAATGAATTAAGATTCAGTAATCATATTGCGCCCAGCATACTGCTGAATCTACAGAAACTGAATTTTATATCCCAAACTCTGTATGATAAGTGTGATACAGACAGAGGGAGTGAGACATCCAGTGTGGATTTGTCAGCTGGAAATGAAGCTGATAAGATGACTGTAACTCTCCATTAGCTCAGTCCCATGTGAGGTGTGTTCCCTGTTCCATGGGCAAAGCTGTGCCACCTGCACTGTTGGGCTAGTGTTACCCTCAGCTCTGCCAACCACATCCTATTAAAATGTCTTTAACAGCATCCAGTTCCCAGATCTGTAAGTCTTTGATTTCTGAGATCTGAGAGAAATGTGAAAGTTTCTTTGATGTTTAAGATACTACCATGGTTTATTACCTAGTCGCTTCCTATGAAATGTAAATAATACAAGGAGATGGTTGAAGCTTCTAATGAGTGTAGAGTCCAAGTGTGTGTTTAAGCATATGTAGGATTGAGATTCTGATCTGTTAGTATTTACTTCTAAACTATGGATACAAGTTTTTGCCAGCCATGAACAATTGTTTGAAAGTTAATTGTGAACACAGCATAACGAATATTAATTATCTTGTGGTTTTGAGTATTGCTGGCTTTGAAATGAACTTTTGATGACTTCTTGCCTGTGGATTTTTTTCTTTCAGATGGAGCAGACCTGTGATGATATAGATGAAATGTTCAGCAATTTACTTGGGGAAATGGACATGCTCACCCAGGTAAAGAATTCTTCTTTTTTCCCATTGTAATTAGTAAAGTAGCTGTTACGTGTTAGAGAAAAGAGAAGTTTTCTACATTTGTCATACACTTCCACTCTGAATAAATACAGGTATATTGTTTTGAAAAACCTTCAACTAAATTTCTCTGCTTAGCAGTTAAAACAAGCAGCCTTAAGAAGAAGGTCATATCAGTGCAGGGTAGGTTGTTCAAGAGAGTTAATTGCTTATGAAAGACATTTTTCTAAAATAAAAACCCCAAAAAACCAACTGAGCAATTTAAATTCCTCTGGACTTGGTCCAAAGAAATTGAAGGATTCTGTTAAAACAGGAGGTTTAAGTCTGAATTTTCAGGTATGAATGCTTAGCATACATGGGTAAATGGGATGTAGCCTGAGTGTCAAATGTGAACTTGGGAAATGAAAGCAACATTTTGAATGTATGCATAAAAGTAATCTTTAGATGTAGCAAAATATAAAGTTACAGCTAGGGTGGCATTTAAGAACTTATAGAGATGTTATTGCCAGTGTGGAATACACTCTGGAGAGGAGAGTATAAAACAGCATGATCCCTCTTTTAAAGTCTAGTCCTGAAATACTTCCTGCAAAACCTGATAAAAGGAGAATTTTTATTTCTATGAGAAAAACCTGTAAGGGAATATATTTGTGGTATTTTAATAAGTGCATGCTCGAAAACACTTTTAAGTTGTCATCTTGGATGTGTGAGTTTGCTTATAACCTCTGTTTTGAGGGTGTCTTTCTTCTTGGTGAATCCCAGTGCTTGACAAATTGAATACCAATAATTCTGAGCCGCAGAATAGAAATGGTGTTTAAACTGTGCCAAGGTTTCACGTGACAGCTGGGTTACATTTATATCAATAAATAAAGCACTCTGAAGAGAAAGTGGTGCTGTAGCTTAAATGTGTACTAAGCTAAACTCTTTCCACAGCCCCTTCAAAAAAAACCAAGAAAGCTAAAAATCAGTTTGGCTTTGTCCGATGTCTCAATTAGAAACAGTTCTATTCTCTGTTCTTCCCCACACCAAGCCTGGGTGTTTCCCTGGCAGGAGTTGCTGTTGGCATGGATCAACATTGGATTGAGAAGCATGCAAAAATCTTGACACAATTGTGAGACAGTGCTTAAACCCTTGTCCTGCTTCTAGCTAGTTTACCAGGCTAGACGTAACCCCAGAAACCAGTGTGTGTCATTCTGTTGCTTGAAGAATTGCTTTCATTAGGTAAATTCAGGTAATTGATTTACAAATGTCAATGTCTGTAATAGTAATTATATCATCAGATATCTGTTCTTTTTCTTCTACCTTAACAGAGCTTAGGAGTGGAGACTGTACCACCTCCATCCCCCAAAGTGTCCAACAATGACTTTAGCTTTACAGTTGGCTTTAAAGATTTAAATGGTAAGTAGATGAATGGACTCTTTCATGCCTTTTATGCTTACTTAAAATACCTCACAGCAACAAATGAGAAGAAAATCTTTACATACCCTTGATCAAAGAAACCTCAAACCAAACAAAAGAACCCTGTTTTGCTGGAAAGGGAGGTATATTTGTGTGTCTCAATTTAGGAAACTTCAAAAGAGCTAATTTTTTGGGACGTTGTTCAGTCTAAATAAGAATCAGACTTTCAAAAATGCCTGAGTGTAGAGGTAAACGAAAATGAGAAGTCTCCCAAACAACTTTCTAAAATGCAACCTTTTAAATGTAAAGATTTAACTTAACGGAAGATGAAGTTCTTCAGTGTGATGTCAGAGCTGCATAAGCATTTTTGTCCAGTGGAAATATCAGCTTCAACTGATTCCAGTTTTCATTGCTTATTGTCATTTTGGTTTGCACTGTCACTTTGCATCTACAGCTGCTTGTTGAGGCTGTATGACAAACCAAAGGAGGGAATTTAACTGAGTTTATAAAAAGAACCCTCTCGTTGGTTTTTTTTGTGCCATTTTTTTCCTTCTTTTGCTTTTTTTTTAATTGGGGGCTGGTTGTTTGCATTTGTCTGAGCTGGTGTTAACCACTGGTTTTGTTCCAGAATCAGTTCTCTGTTAGACTTCCTAATAACTCTACCAGTGAAGTGGTTAGAGCCATGTAAATAAAGAGGATCATAACCCAACTTGCCACTGAAAAGAAAAACTTATTAAAATACTCAATTAACTTAACAGGTAAAGCAGAGATGAGAGATGGTCTAGTGATATGTTCACACGTAATCTGATGAATGAGGTTTATTGGACTATATTAGCATTTTTGAGTATCTAGTTCAGTGCTCTCCATCCCTTCCCAAAATCCCACTTACAGATTTTCCCAATTTGTGATTTATTTATTTTTTAACTAGACTGTTTAAAGAAATTTAAGCCACTGAATCTGTTCATGCTTACATCACCCTTCTGCTAAAAAGCTAAATCATCCTACAGGGTTTTATTCCACAGTATCTGTTGCACCATGGCTAGTTCAAACAACCACAGAAGAAATTACATCTGAAGGTCCAGTGTAGGATTTTATCTTATGCTCTTTCAGAGTAGAACACAAAGAAAAGGTTACAGTATTTCTATCTTGTTTGTAAAATCCTTTTAAGAGAGTCTTGTTTGTTTCTTGTTTAAAGGATCCTCAAAAGCTGCATGTGACATAGCACCTCTGTGGTATGTCACACATATTGATCACACAACTGATGTGCTTCAAAGGATACCACACTATTCCTTGTGTCTCAGAACTCTTTGATTCTGCCTCATGTTAATTTTAGAGTTGTAGAATAGTAGTAGCCTATGAAGATATTCTTGATTTAGGTCTCAGTTACACTCTTTGTTGTGTGCTATACCAAAATTTGCTAAGCATTTATGTATGCACTTGAGTGAATATCCTAATGGGAGCTAATGGAATTTCTTGCATCCATATCACTAAGCACATACTGTAACCTTGCTGGATCAGGGCCTTGTTTTGAAACATAATAAGGGCATGAGACTGTATCACTGGAACTGAAACTTCCTGTTCTGTTTAGTTTTATTTACAGAATTCCTGAACTTCAGTGTGACCAAATTAATGGCTATTCCTAAAGCATGTTTGTTTCCTGAACCCATGTAAAATGTTATTTCCTTTCCCATAACCCTTATATCTTACAGTGACCATTCCTTCTGCAATTTAATCTCCACTGAACTGGAAACAGTGTTTCGTGTTGCACTCACTCTGACACACTTTCTGGTTTTCTTTACAGAATCCCTAAATGCCCTAGAGGACAAAGACCTGGATGCTTTAATGGCTGATCTTGTAGCAGACCTAAATGATGTTGAACAGAGAACTTTACAAGCCCAGAAAACTTCTTCTTGCAACCAGCAAAGTACAGTCACTCAGCCTTCAATAGGCTTGGATAGTGACATTTATTGTAAAGCAAGTCCCTATGTTACCATTACTGGACAGTTTGGGGATGACTTGCCCCCTCCACCTCCAGGCCCTGACTTAGACCTTCCACCACCACCACCACCACCTCCTCCTGAGCCACTTACCCAGGTAAGTCTGGGTGGAACTTTATTCTAAGCATCCACTAGTTCAGTTCTTGTCATTTTGCAGGTGGTATTTGGCATTGGAAAACCAGTACATATCCCAGGTAGATACATCTTGGGAAGATTCTGCAATGATGAAACATGCATGAACTGTGGAGTGAGATGTCTCTTGTTGTGGTCTCAGCAATTTTTGCCTATTTCTTGACCTATTGCCCATTCCTTTGTCTTTCTAATCATCATTTTGATCAGTACAGACATAAATCATTGTAGATGGCTTATTGTAACAGAAAATCGATCACTGAATTTTTTTAAGAAGCACTGATCAGTTAGTATCTTCTTAGAGAGTACTTGACTTTGGCAGCAGTGCAAAGCATGGCCAAAGATCCCTCTGCTTTGTGAAGATGTCACTGTGTTTGTTCATTGCAGTCACCAGTACCAATTGCTGTTGATACCGACGAGACAATTCTGCAGATGTTTTCCAGATCCATCCCTGTCCTAACTCATTTCTTGCAATAGGAAAAGCTGTTCAGTTGTATAAAACTCAATGTTTATTAGGAGACTGAGTGTGAGGCTGAGCACAAGAAGCACCTCTCCTAATCCTAACACAGAATCACTCTGCTCTTCTTGGTCTTGTCTTTGAAAGGAAATCGTGAAGAGCTTCTGCAATAGGGGACAAATGCTCTTTACATAGGAGGTGCCAGAAGTATCAGTAGGTAACTATGAACAATGGGCTTACCTGTATCTAAAATTTCAGACTTATCACAACCTCCTCCCTGTTTGTGTTTCTCACAGAGCTGTTTTAACAACTGAAATAATATGTGATATTATAGTAGAAGCATTAGAAGTTTATTTCTTTAACATGAGGTTGTGGAGAGGGAGATAATGTAAGAATTCTGCCCTGTCACTGACAAGTGAGGAGAGTATGTGCATTAGAAGAGTGCTGTAGCCCTCCCCAAAAAAAAGAATCTGAAATCCTTGAAATATATAAAAATACTCTTTCAGTATTCATGTAACTATGATGGAGAGATGTTTACATTTAGGGAATGGAAATATTTTAGGGAATGTGAAAAGTGCTCTGTCAGCCTATATAGAACTGTACCAGTCAGTTTTGCTTGAAACCACAGTCAATTGATTGCTGTTCAAAAGTCCACATGAACTGAGTATGAGTCACCTCAGCATCACTGCTGCCCCTGTGTTTAGCATCATACAGCAGACCTGTTGAGCAAAAGGAACAGAAAAACTGGTAGGAAGAGGACCCTTCTGATTATACAAAAAGTGATTCACTGGATAAAGCTTCACTTGATGCTTAGGACCTTTCAGTGTTTTTTGAAGACTGAAAATCATAAACATGTTTTCCGCATCTCATAGATAATAGTTAACTTCCTGTTGTAAAGGAAGGAACGTAAAGGAACATTTGTAAAAACAGCAGCTAGACACTTCAGAAGCTGAAGTCTTTTATTTAATGGGTATAATTGATATAGAAGAGTTGCTATCAAGATAAGTAGTATCCATTGTCTTTACAAACATGTCTCCATCTTGATTTAGACTCATGACCTTTAAGGAAGCACAAAGCTTCTAAACAGTCTGTTTTGGAAGCTGACAGTATAGTCTGGAAGGGTAGTTGGTTATTTGGGCTGAGATTGGCCAAACTGCCTGATTCATGGGCTAGTAGTCAGTGGTTTGCTGGCTGGTAGCAAGTGAGATCAGTACTGGGGTTTGCCTTGTTTAACATTTTCATCTGTGACCTAAACACCCATCTACAGATGTGCTGAAGATTCTTTTAATTAAAGGCACTGACTGACAAGATGAATGGCAGAACTTCAGTGCAAAGGGACCTTGAAAAACATGAGGACTAGGTCAGCAAAACCCTCAGAAACCCAGCAAGGTCCAAGATCCTGTACTTGGAGTGTAATAACCCCATGCACTTGTATAGTTTGGAAGACAACAGGCTGAGCAGCAGCCCTGCCAAAGAGGAGATGGCAGTGGTGGATACCACAGTGAATAAGAACAATGAGTGCAAGGTCATCTCGGTACGGGAAACTGGTCTCTGTTGGAAAGAGTATGGCCAGCAAACTAAGGGAGTCATTGTTCCTTTCTCTTGGCACTGGTTGGCCCACACCTGGATCACCACACTCCATTCTAGATGTAGAGACACTGGAGAGTGTTCAGCAGAGAGCTAATGGGATGGCCAAGGGGCATGGAGTGATCAAGGGACCATCTAGGACAGGCTGAGGGAGCTGGGCTTGTTTAATCTGATAGAGTTCAGGGATTGATCTAATGACAGCCTAAAAATACCTGAAGGGCAGATACAAAGCTAGTGGAGCCAAATCCTTCGATGGAAGTGTTAGACCATTACCATGGCGGGGGCTACAGCTACATGTTGTAGCTTTTCAATTTCAGACAAGACTATAGGATAACCTATTCCATTTCAAACAATAAATTTCAGACAAGACTATAGGATAACCTTTTTCATTTCAAACGATGGTGTAGCCCTGAAGCAGGTGACTCAGAGAGATCACAGATTCTCTTTCTTTCAAGGTTTTCCAAACTTTACTAGGCAAAATCATGGCTGACCTGTTCTACTGTTGGTGACTGTCCTGCCTTGGGCAGGGTGCCAGACTATGGACCTTCAGACCTCTCTTCCAAACAGCATTTTTATGATGCTGGGACCTAAAGCTCATTGAAACTAACAGTGCTGCTTCTTTCCCTTGAGTGTTGTCCAGAGCTAAATGTCTGCATCCTGCATTATCTCAGGGTCAAACAAGATTTCAGAGTGAGAAGAGGATATACTTGCTAAACACAACTGGAGTTCTGTATGCAAAAATGTAGCTGAAAGTCACTTCTCCCTTAATTAAAGTGTTCCTCGAAACTGTGCCGAGTTAAACCTCTAGTGATATTGTCTGGTTGCTCTCCAAATACAGGAACAGGGCAGAGAAGGATGGGAACAGGTGGTAGAAGCATTTCTAAAGAATATGTCTGTAGTAGCTAATTTCTCAGAAGGCACTGGTTCTGCTTCCTCCTGCAGCCTTTGCCTCATTTTGTGATACAGGTTGTATTCAAATACTGATGGCATATCCACTGTGACTTACTGTCCACACAGTTGCCTAGAGGGCTATTACACAGGTTGCAGTGTGAATGATGGAGGTAATAACCATTTAAAATTAATATAGAAAGAACTGATTTCAAATTAATATTCACTACCTTGGTTAGTATTTGCTTTGACATGACATTTCTGCTCAGCAGAATGAAATTCAGCTGCAAATGGAATGTATTTTGTTTCAGCAAAATCCATGTTCTTGTTAGTCAGGATTCTTGATCACTGATTCTTGAGCCAGTCAAGGCTGAGGTTTCATTTCACACTTCTGATTGTCTGTAGTCAAATAAGAATAGTGTTAATTATTCCCAATGCAGCTGTGGTACTTAGACTCTATTCTCCAACCTTTATGTGTGCCAAAATTAAGAAGTACAGTGTTTCTTTCAGGGAAGCATAGAGCTGTCTCATAAGTTTCCATCAACTCTGACATTTCTTTTTTAAAGCCTTCTTTAAGCTAAATAAGGTTTCTACATTTTTTATGACATTATCTGGATGACTTTTATGTGCTTCTGTTTAAAGATCCAGGTAATATGATGATGATACTGTAGTGTAGTGGAAGAACAAACGCTTGTCAAACCATTTAACTAATAATGCTACAGTTTTGCATCTGAAAGCTTGTTTTCTTTTCCTGCAGTAAGTCAGCCATGGCTTATGAAATGTAAAGGCTCTCAAATGAGAGCTTTGTCACAGGTATTTGTACAATGTGTGTACTCTCTTCAACACAGGTCATACGCAGGGGAAGCCTCAGTTGCACATGCCTAAAATTTTCAGCAGAAAGGCTGCCCACACCATACTCAACAGCTTTGGTTAAGATCCTTTTCCTGCTTCCTGCAGAGAGGTGGTAAGGGGAGTGCCACAGTGTGAGAGGTTGTACTCTTCCCTCTGTAGGAGAGTCAGCATTGTGGTGAAAGCCACCTTTGGGCAACAGCTTCTGTTCAACTACAGAAGATTTTTTGGATTCTCTTTAAGTTAAGCAGTGCAAATTTCCATACCTGTGGAGGAAAAGAAAACATATTTTTAATTGATTGACTGGTGTTTATAGTGGAGAATTTGACAAGCTTGAAGCAGTGATAAAACAGAAGACATTTAGTTGAGTAAGAGGGATGTCAGTCAGGAGTACTTTAGTTACAGTTGAACCTGACACAAAACTTGGGATGAATAAGATAACCTTCTTGGCTCTTGTTTGGCTATGATTCTATGATATCTCTGTAACAGGGAAGTGATGGCAATTCTTAGTTAGGCCTAGTTTCTGGAAAGTGTATCTTCCATGAGATGCAACCAGTTCTCTTAGCACAGAGAACACTAAAATGATGAGTTTAGGATAGAAAATGGAGGCTGAAGGTAACAGAGAAAAATCGTGTGAAATCAGGGTAGGAACTTTCTCCCGTGGTCATTGTCTGGAATTCAGGTGCCACTGAGTACCATAACACAAAATCCTACTCATTTGAAACAAATGAAACTGTGAAAGTAATAGAGAGCAACAGGGACAGCAAAAATCAGCAGACACAAGAAAGCAAAGACAAGACAGTTTTCAGTAGCGGCAGCAGGGGTGTAAAGCCAGAAATAAACTGAACCCTCCAGTAGTACTAAGAGTCCAAGGCAGCTACAGGAAACAGTCACTTGCTGTCCAAAATGTGCTTTTTCAGCTCTGTATGTGACTGGATGAGGCTTCTGGAAAAGAGGTGGCATAAGGAGACAGTCACAATTGATAGAGGAGTCACAGAGGCAACAGTAGGCAGTGGCATTTGGTACATGCACCTAAAACTCTCAGCACCTGGGGATCCAGAATCTTCTTGGATCACAGACCTCACTGATACTAAGAGAGGCATGATATTTGTTCCATCTGCTTGGTAAAAGAAGAGCTGGGTGATAGAGTGATTTTTGCGCATCTTACTGTGGCATTCAGCAAAAGCTGAAATGAATTTCAGTGTTCTATCTGTGCCTGTTAATACAAATAAGTTCATTACTAGCATAAAAAGCCAATTAAAGGAGGTGCTCCTCTCAGTAAGTATGCATGCAGGAAGAGCTCATATGCAGCAAGTGAAAGAATTCAAATAAATTAACATAGTTAACAAAAAGCATAAAATCGTAAGCGGTATATTAACATAGTTAACAAAAAGCATAAAATTGTAAGCAGTATGATTCCAAACCAAATTTTCAGTAAGATCCTAAAAACTCTAGTTCTCTTAACCCTATTGAGAAGTGAATATTCTTCCAAGCAGCTGTGTCCACAATGCTGCTTCATTCAGGCTAGATCTTCCTTCACCTTCTCTTTTGTATCAGCTGTACATACAGAAACATAGAGGAGTCCAGTTTTCAAGCATTCCTGTGGCATTTGAGGAACAGATCATGTAAGGGCTGTATGACTGGACAACAAATGAAAGCACTGGACTTGTAAATGAAAGATTTGGCTGGAGGATGTTAGCTCAAGGAAAGCTGGGGATTCCCTGTATCTATGAAGTTTTTCTATGACAAGCCTTATGTTGTGCATGTAACTAACATGAAACAACTCTTTTCAAATGACCATAAACTTCTGTCATTACTTAACAAGAAATCTAAAAAATACCTTGTGTCTTTTCAGGAAGAACAAGAGGCAAAGGCTAAAGCTGACAAGATTAAACTTGCATTGGAGAAACTGAAGGAAGCCAAAGTTAAAAAGGTGAGCCTTGAAATAGTAAATCTACTATAAGAGCTACCAGCTAAGTATCTGTTTTCATTCTTCTTAATAATAAAGTTCTTACTAAAATGACAAGGCTTTTTCATATTCTATCTGTAAAGATATTCTGTGCATCTGACTTGTCATCCATCTGAAAAGGAGTCTCTGGGAGAACCTACCTCTGAGGGACTTATTTTAAAGATGACTTGGAAAGCTCTGCCTCTTTTTTTCCAATGCTGGGGCAAAGCTCACTGTTCTGATAGGTGACTTACTTATGCTGTGTTGATTCCAGGAGTATTAAACTTTTCTTCTACAGTGGGTGTGGATTTAGCTAATGCCTATTAAATTAATGAGAGTCGTCTTGCTAAATCTTTTCACAGGAGTGTAGTAATGTACAAGGATAATAGAAATTATTTTAGACCAACAAATTAGAAGGCTTCCAGGCAGTGTCTGCATAGTGCTGCAGTGTGTTGTGTAACTATGCCCATTCAGCTTAAACTGAGGTTCCAGCTGAAGTCAATGAAGCTGCAGGTGTTCAGTAACTCTGAAGAATGGATGTGAAGGAAACAGCCATGACCTTTCAGCCTTGCTCAAACAGGAGATGGGAAGTGCTGGAGATCAGAGCCTGCAGGGCTTCCATGAAGATTGGAAGCTTCCAGTAGATTTGGGGGTTTCTGGACTTGAGATGGTTTCCATAGAGCACTTTATGTTCATGTACAGATGCTACCTCTGAGAGAATGTGTTGAGTGGATTTCAACAATGTCGACGTTGGAAAGCTCTATAACTTAATGTATGACTGCTCATTGGACACCCTCTATTCCTTGCAATGTTAGCAATTCTCCTTTGGGAGGAAACATTTATTTTGAAGACTTTTTTGTTTCTCACCCTGAATATTTGGAACTATAGGGTAGAAACAAGGCTCAGTCTTCTTGAGGCTGTGTCACTATGAAATTACCGAGTCATTCTTGAATTCTAAATTGACTAAATAATTGTCAAGAAAACTGGTCTTCTCTCTTTTATGAAAAGCAGAGAGCAGAGGCCAGGGAGGATTTTGAAAAGCAAGCTCACAGCCCTGGACTTCAGGAGAGCAGACTTTGGCTTCTTCAGAGATCTCCTTGGAAAAGTCTCATGGGATAAGACCCTGGTGAGAAGAGACCAAGAAAGATGGTTAATATTCAAAGATATCCTCCTTCAAGCTCAAGAGAGTTCCATCCCAATGAATGAAGGGCCACAAAGATGATTAGGGATCTGGAGTATCTTTCCTGTGAGGAAAGGCTGAGACAGCTTTAACTGTCTAGCCTAGAGAAGAGAAGGCTCCAGGGATTTCCTGTCAATCTCTGGAAATACCTGAAGAGAGGGTGCAAAGAGAATGGTGCCAGGCTCTTCTCAGTGGTGCCCAGTGATGGGATCAGAGGCAATGAGCACAAACTGAAACACAGGAGGTTCCCTCTAAACATCAGGAAGCACTTTTTCACTGTGAGGGTGGCTGAGCACAGGTTTCCCAGGAAGGTTGTGGAGTTTTCCCCCTTGGATATACTCAAAAGCCATATGGACAGGGTCCTGGACAATGAGCTCTAGGTGGCCCTGCTTGACCAGGGGATTGGGCTGGATGACCTCCAGAGGTGCCTTCAAATACCAACTGTTCTGTGATTCTGTGCAGATGGAAGCTGCGTGCATGTTTCTGAGCAGTCAACTGTAACCACACAAAAATTCCCTTTTTCCCCAAGATGTATTAGATTATGCATGTACAACATTTCTCTATAATCTGCACGATGACTCAGTTGCTTATTTTAGATAGAAAGATTCTTACAAGGGTAGGAATCAAAGCAAGTTCATCTTTTCTGTTCCATTTGTTTCTGCTCTTCAGAGATAGTGCAGATTTTCTCTTGGGGATCAACAGTGTGCTTCTACCTGATCTTTAGCAGCAATTGTCTCCACAGTACCAAAGCTTCTTAAGGATACATTTTAAAATAAGGAGCTATTTAAACAAGACTATATGGAAAAGTCCTCCCAACTCACCAGTTTAGTCCCAGTTTACGTGTACAGACCCTGTAGAGAATTATTCTACTGTTTTCAGTCCTAATGGAGCATTTTAAGTACTTTCCTTATAATGTATTTACAGTTCTTTATCACATTTTATGTACATCAGCATTTTCTTGCATTGATCCTCTCTGAGAAAAGTGTTCATGGTTTCTTGTTTAACAAATACTTCACAACATGAAGAAGTAATGAGTGTCTTAGGTTAATTTGGTAACTCATTTGGTAACTTAGGTTAATTTAAGTAACTCATCTGTTTGCTTATTGATGGCTAGTTGGACTACTGCCCATCTTGGTACAGTCCAATTTCAGGTTACTCTGTTGGAATTGAAAGATTCTTCCATTCTTTTTCTCATTTTAAACTACATTTTCCACATTTCTAGCTTGCATTGAGGACAGTCTGTCCTTTCGTACTTGGTTTCCCTATCAAGCATTTTCCTTAATTGCAGATGTAGCTGATTTAGAGAAGAGATTAACTTCTACTTTTTCCCCATAGCAATTTCACCTTTCCTGAAGTCATGCATAGTACAAGGTTCAATTTTCTTTTTCAAGAAAAGGTCTTTATTTTGGTGGCAATATAATGTGAAAACTTCCAAGCTGTTTTATTCCCTCAGCTTGCTGTGGGACAGGGTGCCTTTGAAGCAGTAATAACCTTCAGCCTTAATCTTTCTTATCTGTGTTAGCAGATTGAGACTAGCCTTTTTCTTTTTTTTTTTTTTTTGCCTCTGAAATTAACTGACTCTTCTGTGACTCTGTACTCAGCTCGTTATCAAGGTGCACATGTACGATAACAGCACAAAGTCACTAATGGTGGATGAGCGTCAGGTGGCACGGGATGTTTTAGACAATCTCTTTGAGAAAACCCATTGCGACTGCAACGTGGACTGGTGTCTGTATGAAATGTACCCAGAGCTGCAGATTGGTAAGTGATGTAGTGACATAGCATATAATCATGATAGATAGATATAGTGCATGTTATGCTGTTGGTAATCTTGAGAAGATAATCACATTTCTCCTGCCCATGTGTCCCCTGGTGCCGGAACATCACAGACTCTATGCTGAGGGATGCTGCAGGAATATAGTTGGACCATTCTTGCCGTAGAAGTGAGTCTTTCATTCACTGAACTGCACAAGGCTCCTTGCCCCATCACCATTTCCATGATTTTGTTTTACACAAAATGAAGGGGCCATGTGAATTTCAAGGCGGTGACAGACCCAAACACACCAGTGCTCGACTGGACTCTTTACAGAGAGGTTGCAGTGCTGGAGTGCTGTCAGCAGGCTGTTACACACTGGGCAAACAGATGGAATTAAAGAAGATCCTATGAGAAGTGTTTCAGTCATTTCTAATGCTTTTCATTTGCAACAGTCATTTTCTAAAGTGTAGCTGTGAACAGGATATTGCTCTGTGCTGGGGCTGCAGCTCTGCTGTTACTGAGTTAGGTAGCAACTAACTTGGCCTCCAGGATCCTAAGGAAAGAGCTGTGCAAAACTTACATATTATTTAGTGCAACATAATTAATCTTTTTTAGAAAAAGCTTCAAGGTTCAGTTAAGAACAGAGTATTTTCTAACTGTGAATTATTTCAGAATCTTTTTATGGTCCAGACTGCAAATGTATTTACATCAAAAGGAAAAGGAAAATTGCCAAACTTTATTTCAGGATCAGATTTGACCTGGAGAAGTGAGAAATTGTCAAACAGCCTCTAATATTCTCAGTTTATAGCCTCCCAGCAGAGATGTAAAAATGCACAAATAAAGTCAAGTATCAATAATGGACTTTAAAAGAGCCCCAGGTATAATAATTCTGCTTAACTAAAACAAAGTAATGTATAAATATCTGAAAAAATCCTGACTGGTCATGAGCAAGGAGACACTCATCTGCTTGTAAGAGTAGCAGATCCATTTACTGCTAATCTGTTCTTTCTACTTCATTAAGATAATACAGGAAGCAATGCTGCTGCATTCATTTGTACCTGCTTATCTTAACTGAAGAAAGACTGGAAATGTCATTAGACTCTAGAAAGCTCACAAAAGTCACTGAATAATTTCAGGGTATTTTCCTGTCTTAGAAAGTTTTGTCTAGTGTGACATGGAAAAACATGTCTGAGTGTTAGGATGCAGCACATAGATTGTTTTTTTAATCTCTACAGTCATTATAAGTAATGTACTTGTTTCTTTATAGTCTGAATAGACATTTTGAATTTTCCATCATGCAATTAAAACTGAAGGTATCAGGGAGATCATATGCTATACATGTTGCAGTTAATGGTTAGATTTTTCTTTTGTAATTAAAAATTGCTTCTGTTATTTTAGTCTCAGCTAATTCTAGGTGCTTTGAGTTAGTGTTAGGGTATTGGTATAGTAGAGAATTATTCTCATACTGACTAAAAACTATTCTTAAAGCCAGGACAGAAGAAAAGTACCAAAGGAAATAAACCTGTAGCTGGTCCAGGACAAAAGGAAAAGTCTATAAATTCCTGATGCAGATATCTATCACCAGGTCCAAATCTGCTGGAATGGAGCCTTTTAGTTTGCAGAAGGGAATTTCAATATGAATGGAATGGTACATATTCTTTCTTCTGCTTCCAGTGCACAGCAGCATGTAGTTAATTTTGTTCAAAATCAAAACAATGTGAACTACTCTTTATTCTTGTCAGTATACTTCTTGGCTGT